TGCTGAGTGACGAAGATTTCCAGATTGGTTTCAGGTTGATGAATGTGTTTCTCGCCTTCCCGATTCTCTATTTGACATCCTCGTCCGTTCCTCCTGTAGTTGATACAATGCTCCCTAGATAAGTGAATGAAGTAACCTCTTTCAAATCCCTCCCATTGATGGTGATTGGCGCTGGATGTTGCTGCTGTTGTTGTTGTTGGTTGGTTATTTTCATAACCTCTGTCTTGTCTATGTTCACCTGGACTTGAAACTTGATGATGACCAGTTTTATGTGTCACCACAAATTTAACGGAAAAGAGCGGAAATTTTAATACATACGTATACAAAATCAGGCTATTTGAAGCTATATTAGTGTTTCAATTATCCTCATTGTCTGAGTTCTTCCGACTTTTGTTCACTACGCATTACTTTTACGGGTACAACAGAATGTCAATATTATTAAGGTATATTAATTAGTAACTGAAATGACAACGTTTTGTTCCAATTTGGAAATGTATACACTTTATAGAACTAACTAATCCCCATGACATTTCGAAATTGATGATAACGAAGTGTTATTGATCATTAATCGGACAGTGATATATTTAAAATATCAGAGGCGGGTTTTTCAACAGACTAATGAATTTACAATCCACATATTGAAACAAAATTAGTTCTTCTCTTCAATTTTATGCAGTTGTTGTGTACATCGTTCAGTGAAATGAATCTTTACAATGATCGATAGTTAAGTAAAGTTTTTCAAAATGACATTATTGCTTCAAAAAAGAAAATAACATCACATCATGAATACTTTCAGGTCATTGAATAAAACATATTCAAATTCTCTCAGAAGGCAATGTGAATATATGCGTATTTATACGTCAACTTTATGAGTTATTTTCCTGTTTTACAAAACTTTTGTGAGAATAACTGATTCTATCACTGAATGTTGTTTGTTGTTCCGAAAACCAAACTTTAAAAAATCGATATCACAAATCTAAATTTAACATTTTATGTGCTAATAAATTCATTGTCACAATTAAGCATTATTGATTGTAATGATGAGAGTAATAAAAATAGAAGATAATGACATATTACTCTTTACATTGTGTTCTAGAAAATTGAGCTTTTTGGCAAGTGAATTAATCGTCAACAATTTGTGATGAAAAGTAATGTGAAATCGAAATGGTATTTTATAATAAATATTCAAAGATAAAAGACATACGCGCCATATTTATCCGACTCATTGAAGATATGTTTGTGTAATGGTGTACTTTTAAATCCATAAGGTCGATGCTCTATGCCAGTATTAGCGTCTTACTTTGAAGATAGTGGAAAATACCCAATAGGACATTAGAGAGAAGAGAACACGAAGTTCAGCAAAGATATCTGTCTTTTCGGCGATTTCATTTTTAAAAGCAGCTGTACAATCGCATTTAAATACATAATTTTACATTGCTACAATTTTTACTTGATTCCACATAATTACGAAGGCTAATAAAAGGTGACAATTATTTTCAACTAGATATGGTTTACGAGAGGCTTAGAAACAAAATTACACAGGATTAGGATATAATTGTAAAATAGTTATTTTAAACGAATTATAAATGTGAGCAGGAAAAGCATTTATAATTCGTTTAAAATAACTATTTTACAATTATATCCTAATCCTGCGTAGTTTTTGTTTCTAAGGCTCTTGTATTCTATATTCACACCGCCTAACTTCCATTTCAAGTTGAAAATTGTTATTCCAGTTTGTTTCCATGCTCATTTTTTACACACCTGTAATTCGTTATAATCTTGTGTAATTTTGTTTCTAAGCCTCTCGTAAACCATATCTAGTAGAAAATAATTGTCACCTTTTATTCGCCTTCGCAATTATGTGGAATCAAGTAAAACTTGTAGCAATGTAAAATTATGTATTTAAATGCAATTGTACAGCTGCTTTTGAAAATGAAATCACCAAAAAGATATCTATACTAAGAAGAAACTATCATTGTAAAAAGTCTTATTTTCCTACGTTTATTGTCATTACTTAGTTACATCATGCTTGAAACTAGCATATAGTAAAATATGACACATAATGGGCTGTAACTCATTTTAGTTCTATTGATACGTGACTGGACTATACGATGTTTGTATCAAGAAAGAATCTATTCAGCTTAACGAAAAAACAACAACAGTCAGAAATGTTATCTTGAATTAATACGACCTCAAAGATATCTGAACGTAGTTCATCTCATCAGCCAAGAGAATTTGAGGCTTTTTATGAAATCAAAGATTAATTCATAGGTAACAGTTCAATCCATCAAGCGAAGCCTATGTGAATGAATTATTCATTTACTAGACAAGGCTCCTAATATATTTAAGGACGACCTACTGTGTGTTGATTATCGATAAAAAAAAACAATTTAGTCTCTCTGTGTTTCCCACTAGTGCTTCAGGAGCTTTGTATTTATGAATGTTTCTATGCTCTTTGAGGAAATTCAATTGATTAAAAATGCCCATTAAAATTTTCAAAAGAGTGGAAACTGAACAAAGAGTACTCTTTTCGATAAATTCATTATCAGGCTCTACAATTATATATACATTATAGTGAATGAATGAATTAGTCTTATGAACGACACTAATGTTTAAATAACATCGAATCAATGATATTGACAGATTACAGCTCACTAGCATCAACATAAAATAAGCTGAATGTCAGAAGAATTAGGAAAGATAATATTACAATTTCATGAGTTTATAGTTTCTACTGAAGGCCAGGGCAGTAGTAGTGGCTGGACTTGCTTCTTTTGAACACAGAGCACTGGTTGTTTCAGGCGAGTTGCAATAGCCTCTGCTGTTTGGAGCAAGCGGTGCTTCGATGATTTTGGTAATTTACTAGGCACCCGGTATATTATAGAGAAGGATTCTTCTACGCTGGCTTTGTGACCGGTTTGCACCAGATGGTCTAATATCGAACTGTTAATGGTTTTAACTACACCTTTACTAAGCCACAGTGGGATATGTTCTCGAGCACGAAAAATCAAGTTCCTAGAGCAACGGCCGATATAACTTGCTCCACAAGCGCAGCTGAATCGATAGATACAATTTGAAGTGGCTGGTCTAGTTACTTCATCTTTCAGTAGAGGTAACACTCTTTTGATGAATTTTTATATTTGTTCACATAACTGCACTAATCTTTTGTTCAAGCATATCTTGAATCGTATCTGTGAAAACTGATGAGACCTGGGAAGTTACTATTTGCGCTAGCTCAATTGAGCACTGTTTCTTTATTTAACAACACCTGATGCTTTAATACTCTCATTTCATTACTAGTTAAACAAGTAATTGACTGGACAGGTTTCCAGATACCTCATATTGATAGATTTGGTTGAACAAAAATCGTAATTATGTAATAGTTTGATGCTACTAGGCGGCAGTCGTTGGTAACGAAATCTTCCCACTTACTCTTGTTTAGCCTATGAAGTAACCTACCCTGCTTCTTTTTATTGCGGTATACTTATGAATAGAAATTTTTTAAGGTGACCATTATTAGTCTGCTTGGTGATGGAACTATTGGATTCCTACTTGATCAAAATGTGGTTCAGTCGGCAAAATTTTATAGTAACTTGTCAAGATGGTTTTATAACTAGTAAATAGCACTAAATCTTTTCAGCAGACGGACCATAGTGCTTTATAAGCCACTTTTTGTTATGCATATTGCATTTATTAGTTGAGTGGCATGAAAATGAGTACCATGATGTCTTTCTGATTTAAAAATATATTACAGAGGCTGTGAACAATCCGGTTTAGTGGTAAAATGTAAGACTCTGTGTGCAGGGTACACTGCATAACTGTAAACAAACCTGATTTGTTCAATTTTCCCGTTGAATGATTGGACAGAAATATTTTGCTTCTGTTATCATGTCAGCTCCTAGTACGGACATTTCGACGATGTCCGAGGCCAAACATTCCAGTGCAACCAGTTAACAGAAAAATCAAGAAATTGACTTCAGCAAATAATAAATGATAGACACTGCACAAGAGCTGGCTATCGTGGTCTAACTGGTCTAGTGAATAGTGCTTTCGTGTCTGAAACGATGGTTACCGGGTTCGAGTCACAGTGGAAACACCATCAATCACTGGAGACTGCAGGTACATCCATCTGACGAGTTCCAAATAAGATGAAACGCGCGCGCATCCTGGATTCCCCTGGTAGTCACCATCCACCGAATTACTTATAAACAAAAACCTGTTAGAATATTCGAAATATACTTAAATATTCGTCAACTAAAAGGAAGAGGATTTATTCCACAATTGTTATTGATACTTTCATGTGAAGCCTTTGAAAATTGTTCCGGGTGTTTACAGATATCGATAATTTTAAACTTACATATATATTACTTTGAAGTGGTCTCCAAAAGAAGAAAACTGCTGATTCCTCTTCAAAATAACCAACATAATTTTTTCTGAACTAATAGTTTTGCTTATAAGTGTATTTTTACTCAGTAAGTATTGTTCTATTCCTTCACGAAACTAGTTTCAGAAATTTTTCTGTATGTTTAAAAGTACCTCCTCAATTGTAAGCATTAAAAGCATTAAGTATATACAAAACTGGAAATGAATTGTATGCATGATGCATAAAACTAACTAGATTAGTTCAAGTAATTTATTCCTACATACCTAACTGTGATGATAAAATTAGTTTGAATTCCTACCTCTTGTTAAATTTTCCTTCCTGTGGTTTTTATCAATACAATGTGCATTCGACTTCATCTGCTTTACCGTAAATTTTGAATCCTAAATTATTTATCTACTATTTTATTAAACTAGTTTTACTGTTACTAGGATCAGTAACCAATTTTCCTCCTTGTCTCTTCATAATTCTATAGATATTCTTGTTTTTTTTTCCTTCACTTTCCCCAGTGGAACATAGGTATTCTTGTTAGACTCAGTAAATACATCTCATTGACTTTCAGCAGTGAAATACAAAAGGTTAAATTTTATCTGATGTATGCTTTTTTTTCTGTTTACAGGAACAAAGTAATTCACTGTGATTTGAAACCAGAGAATATCTTACTACGACGTGCAGGAAAGAGTAAAATCAAAGTAATCGACTTTGGATCAAGTTGTTATATTAATGAATGTCCATACAATTACATACAATCACGTTTTTATCGTGCACCGGAAGTTATTCTTGGTCTACCATACGGTACACCCATTGATATGTGGAGTTTGGGATGTATTCTGGCTGAATTCATAACCGGTAAGCTGTATTTAAAACTAACCAACTCGCTTAACTCTGTATTATTTCATTTGTGTATCATATTTTGAAACACAGAAGGTTAATGCCCTGTAATAATTACGTAATCTTAGTTGGCGTTTTAGCATGACTAGGAAATGATGTTGCACTAATTACTATTTGAATTATTTAATATGTTTGTGATATACGTGCACAACTTAGGCAATGTGGTTGTGTGCAGTCTCATATTCAATTTTTTTATTAGATATTTACTGGATGACGTTTCGAACACAGTCACATCAATTATAACTGCAGAACTTCGAAACTTAATTTTTTTATCCTTCACGTTCCCCAGTAGAACACAGGGCTTCAAGCTAGTGGCTTGAAGTTTCTGTAGCAGTGTTTATTTTACAGGATGGGGTTGCTAGCTTCATACCCATCCTTTCCTCTTTACCAGCATTATTCCTGGCTCAGCGGGGTAAAGGAGTGCGTCGGCCGGGGATCGAACCCCGGACCATGTACATGGTTGGCGAGCGTCCTAACCGCTATACCACCAACGCACGAAACTTAATTTTTAACATTTTTAAAACATGCGACAAATGGGAGGGAATAAAGAGGACTATATAACTCAAGTTTCAAATTTGTGCAGTTATAACTGACACAACTATAAACAATAAATTGTGTTCTAAACGTTATCCAGTTAATAATACTGTTTCACTGTCTGATATATCCAATTAATCGAAATGGTATATAATCATGCTTTGTTATATCTAAAGTGTCCAGAGTATTTCAGAATGAATAGTTTCTAGCTAAAAGTGATATAATCTCATTCAAACCAAATGCAGTCTGTTATTCGACCTAAATTTTTTGGCGAATGCATTATATGTAGCTCTACATGCCTAGACTGAGATTGACAGAACATTGGTTCGAAAAAGTAAGAAGATATTTGAAAAGATGTCATATATTAGACCACTATTATCGCCTTTAAGCATCACTGTTTCACATGAATTCACACTGGTCACAATCAGGCTAAGTAGACAAACAGTTGAATTTTTAGTGAGATATTGTACTAGCTCCTATGTAATCAGGGAAAGTATACTCGAATATTTCACTAGTAATATTGTGGTGGTGATACTGACAATATGTGCCAACGGAATATCATTCTCGCGTATTCCCACAGTTCAATTCGGCATTAGCAACACAATACGATATATCTATTTGAACATTCTATTTGATGTTACAGACAGAATACTTTTCCCACAGTTATAAACCGCATTAGCAACAGAATGCTACTGTATATTTGAACATTGTATTTCCTGTCGTTTGATGTAAACCAAAATCACACGCTCAGTGATTGGTTAATAATATATGAACAGCGGTTTGATCAATGGAAAAATATACCTTGGCTTCCATGTCTCGCCTTCTGTTGTTACAGTATAACTATTTAATCTACTTGGTGTAAGCGATTCCCGATTACTTATATCCGTCAGCTGTATGGTGCACCGTGTGGCATTTATGCTTAGTATTCTGATGTCAGATAACGCAGGAATAATGATAAGAATATTGTCGATTTTTATCCAGAAAATGTGTATCTTGCACATCACTTATTGAGGATTGTTCTACTGAATAAGAAGCATGACTGTGATAACAATTTTTAAGAGAGAAAATACTTCCTCTAACCGAAAATTGTAAAAGTCATATGAAAAGTGAAGTGAAAATATGCGCACTAGAGAAACAACGGAGATGCATATCTCATAGTTCATTTCGACTTTAATTCAAATAATGGTAAATTTTTCTTTCGTGCATTTTGTTTCAGTGCATAAAAGCATTTGAAATGATGTATCTGATAAAACGGAAAATTTGGCATAGGTTTTTGATAAAAATGTATTTATTCACAGAAGTTCATATACATATGCGATTAAACAAGTTAATAAAGGAGGCTATGAAAGGCAAATACGTCTTGGATACATTGAGATATTGCGTCTGATCTTATTTATTTTCAAGTAATCTACGCGAGTTTGAATGAGTAGTGCAGATGAGCACGTCATAATAATTGGCTCAGAAAAGTGTGTTTTATAACACTGGATGGTTGAAAACACGTAACGAGTAAGGAAAGAACTGTCAGAAATATTTATCATATGTGTAGTAAACATGAAGTGCTATAAGGTCATATGTCAACCAAGTAGAGAAAAATGCTGATTAATCTTTATACCAAGAAGGCTAATTGAGCCTAGGGACATAATGATAATAATAATTTGCTTTATTCCATAAACAGTACATGTGATACAGAATGGAATTTTCAGCATTTTTACTACAGTATCGCATCCAGTTAGTACATTATCAATAAATAGAATTCTACATAGATTAAGGAAATCTCAGTTCATTGTGACAACAACATATTGGTATGTCGGTAGCAAAGCCAAAGCTGAACAGTGTTTGAAGGTGTTAGAAAAGTAGGTGCTATCATATTTACTGGCGTAAGCGAAAGAAAGAAACAAAGCAGCACATAGCGGGAAAAACAAGAGAGAGAGAATAGGAAAAGAAAGAAAGAAAATGTTGTACCTATAAATGATATGAGTTGGAAAGACGAGGTCCAGTTGTTTTACTGACTATTTAATGAATTATAGGTGTCACGCCTAATGCTTTCTTTATCGCACAGAACACGAGCTAAGTAGGGTATGGTTGAGTTTTTGTACTTGCTAGTGCGAGCATATAGTTTTCTATATAGGCTTCTGGTTTTGCCTGATTAGATACAAAGGGAGAGTTGTGGGTGAAGAGGGTGGTGTGAGTTAGATAAAATGTACTTGGCCCATTTTTCACATGAGTCCATGTGCCTGTCAACCAGAATAATAACAAGCTGGTTAAGTGGCACGTTGCTTACCCTGCTGACAACCTTTAACATTCTGCGTAATAAGGTATAGTCTTTCTTCAGTAGCCCGGGAAAAACTAAGGGGGAACGATGGAGAATAATAGACAGAACCATACCCTACTTAGCTCGTGTTTTGTGCGATAAAGAAAGCATTAGGCGTGAGACCTATAACTTATTAAATAGTCAGTAAAACAACTGGACCTCGTCTTTCCAACTCATATCATTTATAGGTACAACATTTTCTTTCTTTCTTTTCCTATTCTCTCTCTCTTGTTTTTCCCGCTATGTGCTGCTTTGTTTCTTTCTTTCGCTTACGCCAGTAAATATGATAGCACCTACTTTTCTAACACCTTCAAACACTGTTCAGCTTTGGCTTTGCTACCGACATACCAATATGTTGTTGTCACAATGAACTGAGATTTCCTTAATCTATGTAGAATTCTATTTATTGATAATGTACTAACTGGATGCGATACTGTAGTAAAAATGCTGAAAATTCCATTCTGTATCACAAGTAGTGTTTTGGAATAAATCAAATTATTATTATTATTAATGCGAGAGTTTACGAATTGTAGGAGTAAGGGTTGGGTTATACCAGAATGTCTTAACTTTTTGATGTAGAAGGTAAGACGGAATATTTTCTTAGAAATCGTCAAGATATGAGACAACCAGGAAAGATCAGCAGATAGAATGACGCCTATGTATTTAATTTCCGACTTGGTTTCTATTTCAGTGCCATCTATGTTGTACACCTCGTGAGAGCTAACCAGTTTGTTTAGGTCAGATTTAGGCCTAAAGGTGAAATTGACTGTTTGGCATTTGTAGGGGTTTAAGGTAAGACCGTTTTCTTTGGACCACTGGCTGATTTCTGATAGAAAGCCATTTAGTTTAGAGCAGTCACTATGACAATTGACAGGCAAAGATACAGTCAGGTCGTTAGCATATTTGACAAAATTAATGTCATTTAAAGATGGTAAGTTATGTAGAAAGAAAGAAAAGAGAAGTGGGGAGAGTACAGCACCTTGGGGGACACCAGCATATTGTATACAAGATGAATATTAGCTACACTTACATGTCTAGAACTTTTACTGTTTGCCTACTATTTCTTAGATGGTGAATTTCGAATAAGCAATTAGTCTAAATTCGTAAGGTATTGACCAGTGAACGCTGATTGTGTTTAGAGCTAAAACTGAAAGTATTCTAGTCAGTATTTCTTTTTAAGACCTGTTAATGTAATCTTGAGTTAGATATTTTTCCTTATTGTTTGACCATTGAGTCTATGCTGATTGTCTCCTATAATTAACACGCCTGCATATATCAAAAATTGAATAATAAGACAAGCGTTCTTAGGTCAAAATACACTTTTATTTCATCTTCACGATCTTTTAAAACAAACTTGTTGACATATCCCGCCACTTATTTAATTTTACTGAACGAACTGTCTACCGTACATTGACACATTCTTGCTGGGTAGTGAACAACTGCGGTGCTGATGTTGATCAGTTAGCCTGCTTCTCAAAGTGTTAGCCTACATTCACCTATCATGGGAAGTTATTACAATTTTATCTCCTTTGAAGATCACTTCACCATAAGAGACCTAAACATTTCACGTATATTACCTACTGTGAATGCCTTTTTCCACTTTTTTTTGTCAATAATCAATGTTTGCCTACCTGTTTCAGTGTTAAAAGGAACATATACCTTTTGGTAGAAATATAACTAAGGATGAACGGTGAAAAATTATAACTGTTAGTCGTAAATTAATAATAATATTTGCCAATCCTGAGTGTGAAATTTTGCACACAAAATTGATTTTAAAAAGAATGACTAATATGATGACAAGTGGCATTCAAAATAAAAATTCAGTATCATCTGTTGTAAAGCATTTCGCAAAAAATATATAGACTATGTACAGTATCAACTGTTTTGCATATATATATATTTTACATACAGAACTTGATTTGACACAAGTAATTCTAGACTAAAATGTACATTTTTTTATCGATTCATATTGGCATTAATTTAAGTTTTTCTTATAAACTACGACCAAGTTTCTTTCCGCTGTACGGTGTTCACAACAGATCAGAAATCAATAGGATTTTAACTAATTGAGTCTAGGAATTTGACCTTCAACCAAATACATCGAAAATTTGGACGGGATTTCAAGTTAGGCTCATTATTTACCGCGGATATCTGCATATATTTGTTGAGTTCCTTTTCAGATTTGCCATAAAAATGCTAGTCTGTAACAGGTATGAGCATTTTTACAACATCTTTGAATTGACTGTCATTTATATACCGAAAGGCTTAGTGGACCTAAAGGGCTTCCCATTGCAACACCATCTATTGTCAGCCAATATGTACATGTCGCGTGTTTAGAACCTAGCTGAGGAAGTAATTGGAAAAGTTTCTTTTCATAAGAGATACGTGGATGATATAATAGTCATTTGTGATAAACCGACAGTTACCATAGAAATCCTTGACCTGTTCCATAAAGTATAAAACAGCATATCGCTAACACATACGTAAATAAGAATAATGATTGCTTGCCATTTTTAGATGTACTCATAACCCTCTGAGAAGATGGGTCAGTGGAACGATCTGTCTACAGAAAGTTCACATGGACGGGACAGTATCTAATTTATCATAGTTTCTGTCCACCACGGTATAAAAAGGCGTTGGTTAAGTCTTTGTTCAAGCGCATTCACCGTATTTGTACTGCCGATACAATTGAAGAAGAAAAACAACACCTCACTGAAATATTGTTAGATAACAATTACCCGCTGAGATTTATTAGGCGTTACGGAAGTGTCAACCATAGAGCTATACCAATCCAATCAGCTCTCACAAAGGATGTTTACATATCCTTGCCGTTCAGCGGTGATCAACAAAGTCTGGTCACTAAACAAAGACTCAAGGTGGCAATTAATAGAACTTACTATGCAACCAAACTTATTCTCATAGAGAAAACGAGATGCATGCTGTCCAGTAAACCCTCACAGCATCCGAACGATAGTGTCACATCCTATTGTGTTTACCAATTAACATGTATATGTGGACACACGTAGATAGGGAGGACCCATCGTTCTCTGTAGGCTGGGACTACAAAACATATTCCAAAGTGGCTGCAACGACAGATAAAATCACCGGAGACAACTGGTCCCAGAGATGGATGCTCAACATCTTCTATAGCGAAGCACATTATACAGACGTGTCATAAGGTTGTTTTCAACAATGTCTTTAAGCCCATACATAAAACAAGGTTGGGTGACATACTTAAATTCGTTGAAGCCTTGGCCATAAAAAGGCTTATACCGGTCTTCTGTGTCCAAAAATTACTTGTTATTACTTCAAACCTGCCTTGGTAATCCAATTTGAACCAAGGTTCAATTTACTTAATGATATTTTCACCCCCTCCCTTTCGTTTTTTCTGGGTTTCTTCTCTTACCCACACCTAAACGTCATCTTTCTACCCGTTATTTGTGACCTTGACTTGTAATGTAATAATTCATGCTATCTTGCCTTTTATAAATATGTATGATAAGTACGTGTGTGATCAGAATGTCCGAAATGTGTTGCGCAAATACCATTACACGTTTCAGATAAACGACATCTTCGCATTGTTAAGTCAAAATTCATAAATGGAACAAATTGGTTTAAATTCCTTAATACTAGGCAAAAATTTGTCGAAGAAACAAATCGTTTTGAATATAATATACAGTTTGAAACTCTTTGGGGATCTGTTGATTCTACTGCGACTTTATTCATCAAGTGACATCTGTTGGGAAGCAGTGAAGTACTAAGAGGCACTAGAGTCACATACAGTTCACAGAGTATTTGTGAACTGCACACTTTTGCTACATGCATTGTGGTTAGTTTTTGAAATCTATGTAGGTTTTTAATAGTGTGACTCATTTCATTTTTGAAAACCTAACATTAAATGAAATCTTTTCGAGTTTGTCTTACTTTTATAGGAGAAATACAAACTGTAATTCTGTAAATGATAGTTTCGATGCAAGCCTGTAAACTTTGAGAACAAAATTTCATTACTTCAATGTATAGCCGACACTACTGCAGTGTCGAACTTTTTGACTCTGAGACTCCTGTCGGCGACTATCCAGTTTTTAAACTATTGATAAATTCGCACAAATATTTACTTACCAAATAATTGTTTCGCTTGACGTCTGTTCTCACTTCAAAAGTGTATACAGAATTCAGACCTTTCATTATTCTTCAGATTACTGGTGCTAATATTTTCGATAGATAACCTGCATGCTTTAAATATTCGGCTCAAAAAGGCTTTATCTATACAGTTTAGCACTTGTTAACATTTTAGATAGATAAGTGCAAACATTTTCATATTCACCAGATGCTTCTTGATGAATGCCTGCACAGTATGCGATTTTCTTTGAATGTATGTTAAATCTTCCACATTAACACTTGAAATGTGAAATGTGAAGATGAAATAACTAAATGACACAATACTACAACTTAATTTACGCTGTAAAGCAAATATATTTTCAACTTTGAAATTTTATTTTAGCATTCTATTGTATTTTAATGGTATTAATCAATCCCTTATTTCATTCTAATTTAAGTATTACCCTAGAAATAATTCAAAGTTGGTATGACCTTAATACATGCATATATGTAGTTTATGAAAGTAATTAATATGAAGGCTTTCAATAAATTTTTGAGCAAGCTATATAGTTGAATAAGAATCTCAATTTACAACTCAAAGCAATGTAAACAGCATGAATTAATCGATTCATCGGTGTACTAATTTCGACCGTTTAATGATTGTCAGTAGTAGAGCATGAATTAAAAAGCATTCAATCTTTAGTTTGATTCAGCATTCAGTATAATCGTGTCATCCAATGAGAAGTTGGCGTGCTACCAAGATACCGTGGAAGATTAGAAGCCTAAGGACTTAAGTGTACTTGGACATTTACCATCTACCTTTGATTTCATTATTTCAGTTACCGAGATTCGATTTTTCATATACCAGGCTATTTGTCACACTTATTTTGTGAGAGCCGATGACACTACCCAATTGTTACGGCTAAAGTATAGACTGAGCGGAATTTGAACCATGAACCAGTTTACTGAAAGTTGAATAAACATTCCAAAACACAGCAGCTTGAATTGGGTGTGCTTGAAAAGTATTCAAATAGAGAAACAATAAACTGAAATGTTTCCCTTCCTCAGATTTAACACCTAGCAGAACTTTAGAACTAGCCTACTCTTCATAAAGATCAAAACACTTACTAGAGGATAACAATAACAGAAAACACTGTGAGGTTAATTATTATTATTATTGTTCCCTTGGGTTCCTAGTGGAACATAGGGCTTCAACAACATGTCTCTACTTGCTTCTGTCTTCTGCTGCACTTTTCACTTGCATCCATGTAAATCCATACTGTTTCAACTCCTCTTCACACGATCTCCTCCATGTCACTCTTGGACGGCCCACTCGCCGCTTCTCTTTCGGGCTCCACTCGAGCATTGGCCTGACACGCGATGTCACCCAGGGGGCCTCCTCAGCGAGTGTCCAATCCATCTCCACTTTCTCCTGCATATTTGTTGGGCGATTGGTTCTTGTTTTGTTTGTTCCCATAGTTTCTTGTTGGTGATTCTTTCCGGCCATCTCATCTTGAGTATAGAGCCAGCGAAGACAGTTGTTGATAAAGGTCTGCAACCTGTTGGAAGTATTCTTTGTGACCCGCCAAGTTTCTGATCCGTATAGAAGAAGTGACTTGACGTTTGTATTGAAAATCCTGAATTTTGTTGTTGATGCTGAGTGAGGTTAATTGCTTTCAGTAATTAAAGAAAACCACGTTGTTGATTTCTTAAAAACTACGAACTTACATAGTTTATGATTTTAGTAGACAATCTGCTTACAAATATCATTTCACTAACCCCTCTGAAAGTTTCTTCGAAGTTGATTTTAACAAGTAGATATTCAGGTTTAGCTCAAATTATTCGTTACTACCATTTAACTGAAGTAATCGGGGTACTATTAGACAAAGCTAGGGCTCCTATTGAGTCAGTGCTATGAAGTAACTGAGTGTATCGTATCATCATAAAAAGCAACTTCTTCAATATAAATATTTGTTGAATATTGTGTTGCCTGAAGAATTTTGCGCCATCAGCTTCTACACATCCTGCATCTGTATCATTTAAAAAGTGATGATGTGTATGAAAACTAAGCAGTTCCAATTTTCTAGGAGATTTAGGCGCAAACTGGCTATTGTGTTAAAGAGTAAGGTTTTTTGTTCAAATTAATATTATCTAAAGATTAGTTCAGCTTTTCTGATTTACTGAGGAACGCCTATCATTAGCGACTAATATGTTTACCATAAGCTTCCTTTATAGACTTAATAATAAATAATTTAAATAGCTATTTTAAAAGTTCTCCATCAAAAGATTTGATTTCTCTATTTTTATTTATTTTTATTATCCTAAGGGGAACCATTATTCCCCGGTGAAGATGCTTCTGATCAATTGGCTTGTATCATGGAAATTTTGGGCCTGCCTCCAATGCAAATGATTAAAAAAGGAAGTCAAAGTCATCATTACTTCAATAGTAGTGGACAACCTTTGTATATGATTGAACAACACCAACATATTTACGGCGGAAATGAACAAACGGACAAATTACAAGAAGCTATAACCAATCTAAGTAAATCATTGAATTCTTCAAGTAAACTTAAACGTAGTAATGGTAATAAACATCACAAGATAAGAAAATCCCCTGGTTCTACAAACTTAATTGAGGCATTGACAAATTCGAAAAATTCTTCTGTCTGTTTACCTGTGGGTGAGACATCAAATTTTGGTCATAAAATACCGCAACCATTAGATCCAGATATGATTGACTTTTTAAAAGGATGTTTAAAATGGAATCCAGATGAACGAATGAATCCAGTTGAAGCACTTCAACACCCATGGATCAGAAAAATGCCATCGTTTACTGCATCAAGTATTGGAAGAACAAACAGTTTTGCTACAAGTCGTAATGCCTATAACAATTCAGATTCTTGTTATACTATCAATAAAAGTAAATTCAACAGTTTTTCCAATTCACCAAGTAAAACAAATTCAGACACAGATTTTGTAGCCAATATCCTTGGTGTACGTACACGAAAACCCAGGCAAAATCCATTACGTATCTCTCGAAAATCTGAAGTTCCGAGTATTGTGAGTTTTACTTGCCTTTTTCACATTAATTTTCACAGTCCAACATAATGTGTTTTGCATATCATTGTCTAGAATGTCAAATAATTTATGCTAAGTAATTAACATAACTCTTGATGCCAGCCTTTGTGCTTTCTGTACCTTTTTGAAAACTGCGAATTCTTCACTGGCTAGCAAACAGAACAATACAGATAATAACTACATTACTTGGCTACTAAATAAGTGAGTCACTGTGCGTCGGTGGCACAGTGGTTAGGACTCTCGCCGACCATGCACATGGTCCGGGGTTCGATCCCCTGCCGGCGCACACCCGATATCTATGGTCGGCCTGAATTTGGGCTACCGATATCCATGCTGAAAATTCCATACTTGTACTGAAAATACGGTGTGGAATCAAGCTGTAAATCAAAATAAAAAAAATAAAAAATAATCTAATAAGGTGTGTTTAGAGCAGCTTCTGTAAAAGCTTTTCTCATTGCATTATTCAAACGTATCAAGGAATTCAACTACATGAATTTTACAGAAGTCATTTGCATTCATCTGATATGGGATTCTTAATGCTTTTGAGTGATGACTTCATTGCAACTATAATGAATAATCTTAGCTGTAAAAGAACAAGGCGACTAGTTTTGGATTTGCTCGAGTGAATTCAACATCGTTTCTGTGTAATCTTTTGTGTTGTCCACAATGGAATTTAAGACTGTGTAGCATTTGTTTTAGTCGTCGCTGTCGAAATAATTTCCTTAGTGATTATCGTGGAATTTCATGATTTAATGCAACAACTAGGATGACATTAATATGTAAGACTGTAACGACAGAAGACAAGGGCCAGGCAACAGATCGTTTATTTTAGGAAATCAACAGATATTTATAGACTTTCATGTACATTATTATAGATTATTTTAAGCAGACGAACACAGTCTTCTCACTGAAAGTTAATCTTTCATCTCTTTGTGGCTGTTTCTTGAATGTCAGATCATCTATATGCTAACTGTATCCGCCTACGCAAAGTCTGCTGAGGTTGGTTGTTGAATCAGTCTTTGTTCATATTTTCCTCACGACCAATATTGAGGACCTAAACATTGACGTAAATTACCATCTACCAATTTGGCTAGCAGCCAGCTCTTACCACACTCGTCCCCCAGTCAAAGACTTGCGAATGAAGTTGGTTCGGTCTTCTTGGTTCTAGAGGCTTTGTTGGTTCGTCTTGCTGTCTGGAATCGTGGCGCTCGCTGATGTTCACCTGTTTCTCTTTGTTTGCCATTGAGATTGTGTCTGCGTAACCCCATCTCAAAGTGATCATATGTGGTCCTTCTCACTTTGGAAACTGTTTGCCTAACCGTGTCGCACATTCGTTGGTGTTTCGCCTCACACTTCCATATGCTGCTTTCTCCCGACCTTCCAGCAACGTCTCAAGTAAACATTGACGTAAATTACCATCTACCAATTTGGCTAGCAGCCAGCTCTCACCAGAAGACTACTGGCTGAGTTTCTCAGATCTGTAAGTTACTTCACACTAAAAGTCTGAATATTACTGACTAGGCTGTTTAGTGTGAAATTTAAGATATTCTTCCAGTACACTTAAAACTATATGCTTAAAATATCTAATAATTTTGAAACCTAACACAAGGCGAGATGGCTACATACAGCTTCTTATTTTGTGATTTTCTTTTCACTTAGTCCTTGCTACTTACGAAATCACATATAACAATGCTTAATATTTCTCTCTCCTATAAGAAACCTGTGTATAAAGTTCAAGCATTTTATCAGATAGTATGAGAGGATGCATTTTTAAAAAACATCTCCTTAACTATTTATTATCACCAGAATATACTTGTATTATAACTTTATTTATCTATTTCTTCTTAGATGTCTGACAACTCTTCAAAACCGGTTCACTCGTATCGTCGATATTCATTTGACCAGAATAACAGCAAACTGTCAGATTTATTCGACAGATCAGTCAAGTGTACTTCAAATCCAAAATCTCCAGATCGACTTAAACATCCAAGTCTAGACGGCTCTTGTAACACAAAGCAGTATCGCAGTTTCTTAAATAATGGTCATAATGGGAACACTGTCATTAATGATAACGATGATGAGGATACTACTGATAATAGTGTATCTCCCCGTAGTGACATTCACAGTCATCACCGTCGTAATCGCCATCATCATCGTCCAAGTAATAATAATAACAATAACAATAATACTCATCAAGAAACAGAGGATAGCAATGTAGATTCAAATAACAGCTTGATAGAAGATGAAGATATCATCAACAATTGTAACACTCCTTCCATGAATGATCGAATGAAAATTAATGATGACAGTGATTGTAGTGATATCAGTGTTAGTGATGTTGAACAAAACTGCCGAAATTCGGGCTACTATGACAATGCTAATAGTCATAATGGTAGTGCTAAAATAATACTTTTTAACGAAGACAAAGTTATACGAGTTCCACATATAACAACAGGTGAACATGACATATAACCTTAACAATATATAATTACTTTCTATCTTCTAACTATTTGTTTTCATTCTCTGTATTTTATGAAACCTCAGACGTATGAAAGCCAGAGAGAGAGACGTGAATCGTATATTTCATACGCATAAATACTTTTTTTCTACCTTCGCACGAGTAATTATGACTTATATGACTGATTTCAACTTATTTTTTATTTAATTACCTAAAGTTTTTTTTTGATCCTAATTATTTTACCCAGCAAGTGCTGATGTTTTTAACTATTACCATTGATTCCATATAACCCTAAATAACCAACCAACCACAACCCAGACATCTACTCACTTAACAAACCAAACATGTACCAGCATTTCCCGCCTAGAATTTATGAGTAGTATATCTACTTCATGAATTCTTCATGTTCCCTTCTTTTCTCTTTTTTCTTCATGTACACCGACAACCGGCTTGTTCCCTCAATGCTAAGTCTTTCTCGATTGTGTACAATTAAGTTTAGGTGAGAAATAAACTAGATAATATAAATCCTATTTTCAACTTCTATTTTATTTCATACAAAATATAATCCGTACTACAAATCAAGTATAGTGGATCCATTGTAAATATATTTTATCAAATGGTGAGTGTTTCACTCAAGTCTCACTAATTAACCGCTTGAAATACTCTGTAACATTTTATTAAGGAGTTTCAGATGGGAGAAAGTGTGATAAGATAAGCGTTACTTGTCGTATTTATGTACAAGCAATCATCATGAAGGTCTTCCAGTGTTTCGGAAGACGAAAAGAAGTCCGTCTTTTGTACTATTACCACAGAAACAAATCTCACGGTTCGTTTGTCATTAGAATCTTGTTTGTAAATCGTCAATTTTATGTTATTCGATGGGTAATCTGAATGTCCGCTGAGCTGAAGTAAAATTCCACCTTGCTACCGACCTGGATGATGAGTATCCTAAAATTTAAGGTTGGTCAGAATTAACAGTGTTGCAACCAAAATGCAATTATTGACTAATATCGTGGCATAATTTATCCTGTTTTTGTATATTTCCAGTAATCACTGTCAAAAGTGACATTTATCGATAGAAACGGCTTTTTTTCCTCAATAACTGCTATAAATGAAACTAACGTAGTCATTAGGACTTCGGCATTTTCGCACGTCGCTTGATTAACATCAGTTTTGTCAAAAGAAAATAGAATCATTTTCAGGATGTTTGCGCTAATTGACTTATGGAAACCGCCTCATGTGAAATTTACATTTTCCTAAGAAATTTATGGAACATAATTTTTCACACATTTTTTAAAGGCAATGGTTACTGAACAGAGAATATTCTTTTCAACAAATTCATCATCAGGTTCTACAGTTATATGTGCATAATAGTGAATGAAGTAGTGTTATTATTATTTTTTCCTTCACGTTCTCAGTAGAACATAGGGCCTCAAGCCAGTGGCTTGAAGTTTCTGTAGCAGTGTTTAATTTTACAGGATGAGGTTGCTATCCTCATGCCCAACCTCTCCTCTTTACCAGCATTATTTCTGGCTAAGCGAGGTAAAGGAGTGCGTCGGCCGGGGATCGAACCTCGGCCCATGTGCATGGTCGGCGAGCGTCCTAACCGCTGTGCCACCGGCGCACAACTAGTGTTTTTAACAACATTAATATTGTTTAAACAACATAGACTCAACAATAATATCAATGGATTACAGTTTGATAGCACCACTGAATATCAGAAAAGCTATAATAAAATTCATGAATTTATAGTCTCCACTGAAGGCCGGCCAGGGCAGTAGTACTGGCTGGCTGGAATTACTTGTTCGGCTGACAGAGCACCGGTTGTTTCAGACGAATCGCGATAGCCTCTGCTGTTTGGAGCATGTGGTACCTGGATGATTTTGGCAACTTATTTAGTACCCAAGGGATGATGGAGATGGATTCTCCAATGCTGGCTATCTTTGTGGTCGGTTTTGATCAGGTGGTCTGATGTCGAACTGTTGATACCTTTTGAAACATCTTTATTTAGTCACACTGGTAGATCTTTCTGATTGAGCATGGAAAATCAGGTTCCTGGAGCAACGGCCGCTATAACTCGCTCCACCACAAACGCAATTGAATCGGTAGATACAATTAGAAGTGGTCAGTCTGGTCTAGGTACTTGATCTTTCTTTTATAGAATCACCATCAGTCGTACAGAAAATAAGACTTGTAGTTTTCCAGCATTAAATGTTCTTTGAACTGATTTTATTCACTTCTTAGTAATTATTTCGCTAGGTATATCGGCGCTGAATTGGAGACTATAAATTCATGAATTTTATTATAGCGTCCTGATATTCAGTGTATTGTTATGTTGGTGCTATCAAACTGTAATCCATTGATACTATTGTTGAGTGTATGTTGTTTAAACAACAATAATGTTTTTAACAACACTAGTTCATTGACTATTATGTATAAATAACTGTAGAACCTGATGATGAATTTGTCAAAAAGCATATTCTCTTTTCAGAAACCAATTTTTTTGAAAATATTTCAATGAGCATTTTTGCACATTTCTTGCAAATATAGATTCATCATTTATGAACCTGTACTTTTACGAGTTGATCACGCACTGATATCAGTTAGACAACCATTGAAAACCAGGGAGTACTGGACAGCTGCTGTTTCATCCTAGTTTGGGAATCATCGGCAGTACGCACCCACTGGGATTCGAACCCAGGACCTTCCGGTTTCAAGGCAAGCTCGTATACCATTCAGCCACTGGGACCCGATTCAGTGGCTCATGAATTCTAACTTCTACCAATTCGTGATTTTAGCGCGACCCCAACTATTGTCGTTGGTGGGACATCCATCCACACACGTGACTTCTAATTGGACCTCACTGGTCACGACTTTTCACTAGAACTCCAGGAAGCTCCAACCTGTAGCAAGTCACTAGCGAGCATCAGAATAATATTCTATAGTTTGGTTTGTGAGGATTAGCGTACTGCTGATGATTCCCAAACTAGGATGAAACAGCAGCTGTCCAGTACTCCCTGGTTTTCAATGGTTGTCTAACTGATATCAGTGCGTGATCAACTCGTAAAACATAACTAATCCTCACAAACCAAACTATAGAACCTGCACTTATTAAAATCAATATCAAAATGCAACACTGAATTTGTTGCGTGTACAGGATGTCTGGTTCAAATCCAAAAAATTTTAAAGCTAATAAAATATAAAAGTCACACTGATCTTCACCTAAGTCATTTATCATAATGTTTATTTTAATTTTTTTTTGAAAAAAATACTAATGGTTGAAAAAATCACATTGGCAAAAGAAAAGCAAGAAGACGTTACATTTGTCTAGTCTAACTGACGGGTTGTATTGCTAAACTGTAATTATGTTAAAGGCTAATAAACACTAACGAAGATTCGTAAATTCAAAAAGTAACCTAAAGTGCATACTAAAAACTAAAGATAATGTACAGCAGAAATGATGAGAAACGCATACTCGCCTACCAATCAAACTAAATTCAAGTAATACAGCCAGGCGTGGAATACAGTTGCTACCAGTGAACACATTATTCATGTGTTGTGTATGAATTCATACTAGCTGTTCAGCGAATGCATACTAAAATGGTTGTTGAATACGTGTCATATAGATTGTTAGCTATGACATTAAAAAAAGAATGAATCTTCACTTTTAATCAATTCAGAAATATTCATCTTCATGTGTAGAGACTGATATTTGATGAATCATACTGCTTTGCTATTCAAATGTTAAAGAGTTGTCCTCTGTCTGAAGACTGTTAAAACCCTATAGAATTTAAATATCACCTGAATGCTATAGAATGTGTTGTTCACAATATTACGAAGTATTCAGTAGAATTACAAAGAATTGTTTTTATTTAACTGAGTAATTGTCATGAGCTTTATTTTATTATTGTTAACCATGTTAGTTGTAAAGCAGTTGTAAATAAACCACGAAATGATATCATCTCGCGAAATTTGTCTTCTTAATGCCTTATTCAAAAGAATTGAAACACTGAAATTATCAAGTGGTGCTTGTGAATATCTATTGCTTTCCTAATCCATCATTCCTACTATGGAAATATTGAAATTTGTTTATAGCCATGCATTAGTGTTGTGTTATTGCAAAGGGAATATTGAAGTAGTATGTTGTGCTGAGGGAACATTTGATAATTTCCATATCTTAACGTTAATGGTCATAACTTTTCATACTTTCACATTACACATGGTCAAAAACAGAAGTATTCACATAGTATTCTTCTGATATGAAATAACTGAATAAAAATAAAGTACGAGTTAGACCAGTCGTCTTTCTTCTTCCAAAATCGATTTTTGGATAAATCACAACACATGTGTTTTCGGACTTGAAAAGCGTTAGCAGATTTGAAGTTTACACAGTCTCAGAATGCACAATTTTGTAATAACGTTTATTCTAAGTAGCGAAATAAACATCAAATATGTGAAATAAAATTTCGAAAGTGTAAATTCAATCTAATTTGCATGTTGCATAACACACTCCTAGAGCGCTAAATATACTCACTTAGGTGTTCAGTTAAAATGTCTTTTAGGTGGTCTCGTTCCTTATAGATGTACCTTCTTATTTTATATATACACGCATTTAATGTGACATAATAAAAGAAAACTGAAATAAAATCAGAGGACCATATATTTAAATGATACAAAAATAGCTTGATAGTAAAGGATATTTTAGACTTAATTATCTGTTGTTGTACTTGCATGTTATGAATGTCTTGGCGAGGCCCAGAGCCAAGCACTGCATTGGTGATTTAGGGATGAAACGCTAGAATCTAAGAAAGTAGTCAGGGTTTGATTCCCGGCCGACGCACCCTCTAAATCTCGCCTAGTCAATAATAAGCCCGATAAAAATGGAAGAAGGGGCATGAAGCTAGCAACATCACCTGGTAAAAATAGCGATGGCTACTGAAACATCATAGTTTGAAGCCGTACGTTCGACTCGGAAGGCAAAGGAATGAAAAAAGGATATGTTGAAACTAGGATA